CCCAAAGGAAGCTCTTGGCTCCTGGCTTCAGATGGGCGCAACTCTGGCAGTTGCAGCTAATTGGGGAGTAAACCATCAGATGGAAGACCCCCCCCCCTCTCTCTCTCTGTGTGTGTGTGTGTGTGTGTGTGTGTGTGTGTGTCTCTCCTCTGTGTAACTCTGACTTTCAAATACATAAGTCTTTTTTTTTTTTTTTTAAAAAAAAAAGAGATCTCATGACCCAGAACATTATTATTTCTTTAAATATGGTTTGGAAAACATTTTCATAGATTTTTCCAATCACAGGTTCTGGAAGTGGGAAAGAGGTTTTGCACAGTAGGAGCACTTAGGAAGTATCTAGAGGCATTTTTAGTTTTTACATGAGGGGACGTTACCATCAAATACTAAGAAAAAGTTGAGGAAAACCCCTGACACCCTATAATGCACAGAACAGGCACATCCCTCCCACCAAAAAACAATCATCTGGCTCCAAATAGTAACAGCAATGGTGCCTTGGCCGAAAATCCATAGTCCAGATACAGCCTGTTCAAATACAACTAAGTATAGACTCCCAGAGCTGGGAGCTGGCACTCCACATTCCCCAGGTTCTATCTTCTTATTTTAGCCATGCAGACCTACTAAGTTCTCTGTGAACTTATAGGCATTTGATCATACCGTATCCAATTTGAATTAGAAAAATCTGGAGTAATCTTACATTATCTGGTTGAGTTACTGGCATCCACAATGTATTATAGTATAAATATAACATATTAGTCTAGATATTATATGTTTAATATATCTTCAGTGCTCAGTAATCTTACATGCTATGCTTAAGATTGCATTGATAATATAATTATGTTGTAGAGATTATACAGATACTTTTTTTTTTTTTTTTTGACAGGCAGAGTAGACAGTGAGAGAGAGAGACAGAGAGAAAGGTTTTCCTTTGCCGTTGGTTCACCCTCCAATGGCCACCACGGCCAGCGCGCTGCGGCCGGCACACCACGCTGATCCGATGACAGGAGCCAGGTACTTCTCCTGGTCTCCCATGGGGTGCAGGGCCCAAGGACTTGGGCCATCCTCCACTGCACTCCCGGGCCACAGCAGAGAGCTGGCCTGGAAGAGGGGCAACCGGGACAGAATCCGGCATCCCGACTGGGACTAGAACCTGGTGTGCCAGCACTGCAAGGCGGAGAATTAGCCTAGTGAGCCGCGGCGCTGGCCACAGATACATTCTTATAGATAAGGAACCTCAATTTCCGACAAGGACAAGAATTTGAGTCCTCAAAATCTCCAATCTTCTTTCCATTATCATGGTATTATGCTGCTTCCATTTCCTTCATATATAATTTCATGTAGGTGGCATTGGAGAGTAATTTCAATGCCATAAATATTAATGATTTTGATTTGTATTTCACAATTATCTATATTTATTCCAAACTCTTCATTTAAGACTGCAAAAGAATTTTACCAAACATTAAGACAAACATTCTCAGCAATTGATTCTTAGAATCTTTTGGTCTTAAACATACTTAATGCAATCAGAATTAGTAACATGATATTAATAAAATGTAAAAGATGTAAGTGCAGGGGCCCAGCCCTGTGGCCAAGCAGGCTAAGCTGCTTTTAATGCCAGCATTCTGTAATGCAGGGACAGTTCAAGTCCCAGATGCTCTGCTTCCTATGCAGCTCCCAGCTACTGTGCCTGGGAAGGCAAATGATGGGCCACGTACTTGAGTCTTTGCCACCCACAAGAGAGACTCAAGACACAAGAGTTTCAGGACCCTGGCTTCAGCCTTGCCCAGACCTGGCTATTGTGGCCATTGAGAAGTAAACTAGTAGATGGAATCAATCTTAAAAATCAAATGCAAAATATCCTTTTATTCCTAAAACTTTCCATATTAGAATAAAGGTGCAGGAAATGATGTTTCAACATCAATGAAAATATACCTTGTCATGGACATGTTTACTTATCAAGCTGAAGAAATTAAACCCACCCAGATTTAAAATCGCCCTCTTCAGATGAATTCAGATGTTAACTTTACATAGTATTTGTTTATGTCCAAGAAACAGTTGAGCTGAATGACTGCTCACTGTTAGCTGTATTTGAACTCCATAAATTTCTTTGCAACTTGAAAACTTGCAGATTATACTTCTATATCTGGATAATACTAAACAAATCTCCAGACTAACCAATTATCTTAACGTGTAATTACAATGTTGTTTTTTTGTTGTTGTTGTTGTTTTTTTTTTTTTTTTTTTGACAGGCAGAGTGGACAGTGAGAGAGAGAGAGACAGAGAGAAAGGTCTTCCTTTTGCCATTGGTTCACCCTCCAATGGTCGCCATGGCCGGTGCACTGTGACCAGCGCATTGCGCTGATCCGATGGCAGGAGCCAGGTGCTTCTCCTGGTCTCCCATGCGGGTGCAGGGCCCAAGGACTTGGGCCATCCTCCACTGCACTCCCGGGCCATAGCAGAGAGCTGGACTGGAAGAAGGGCAACTGGGACAGAATCCAGTGCCCCAACCGGGACTAGAACCCGGTGTGCCGGCACCACAGGTGGAGGATTAGCCTATTGAGCCATGGTGCTGGCTAATTACAATGTATTTTTGTGCCACAACAAATGGTTATGCTTTAAGGAACAAAAAAAAGTCTGTTGAAGACTAGTAGCCCTCTCCATGAAGATAATGAAAGACTTTTTAATCGTTTCCCCAATCTTCTACATTTGCCCAATTCTATCATTCAGCAAGTGGATACAAGATGACCTGTATTTACCATGCATTTGATCAGTCCTCAAAGGTGGCAGCCATAAATTAATGCTGAACCCAAATTATTATAGGAATATTTAAATATTCAGAACTTGTCTCAAGTTTTAAGTTAACTCAAGTATAAACGGAAGGCCATCAGTTAATATCAGCAGCATTGACAAATAGCCCACTCCATGATCACTGCAGCAGCCACAAATCAAAGGCATAATAAAATCAGAGAAGTCTATCCTGATTTATGAGGACATTTGTTTAACTTCAGGCAATTCAGTTGTGCTTGTGTAACTGCCATGCAATTCCCATGATCCTTTGTACATCATATTCTACCTTAATTCATGAATAAAAATTTTTAAGAAAATTAATCCTAACCAGTTCACTGTTACATATTCTTCACCAAAAACAATTTGGCTATAGTTGCAGTTATGATATTATAATAATCATCATAAAGCCTGTCACTTTAAGTCCATCAAGTGAGGATCTGTTTGCAAAACATAATCAAATGTAATTTCATGATTCAGTAAGTCATATGTAAGTCTACTATTACTGGGTTTTCCATTTTCTTTTCAATACTACTGATTTCCATTTTCTCACTGGTAGTCATCCTGCCTATTCAAATGTCATTATTGCCCTCTATTGTTATTCAAATGGAGTCCTCTTATTAGGTCCTCTGCCACTCTACATTAGAATTTGGTTCTTTAACAGTAATAATTCCATTTCTGAAGGAAAAGGCAAGCGACTACACATAATTCTGAGCTTTTACTTTATGTTAAGTCCATGCCAAAAAACCTGGGATTTTAATTTAATAATATCTGAGAAGACCAAAAGGTTTTTATTAACTACCTGAAGAAAGCAGAGAAAATAGCCTATTCCATGCAGGATTTTTCAGTTCCAAAGAGCCCATGAAACCATTACTCCCCAACAATGATGTGTAAGACATTATTTATAGATCAAATTAAACTCTAAACTGCTGGCATCATATGTTATTTCCCCCTTTTTTGTATATTTCTCTTGAAAATTAAAACTAGTTCCATACAGTTGATGTAATTGATTAGTTCCTTAATTATAAAAATATGAAGCCCCCAACTATAAATCAATTTCTGAAGTTGTATTAATGTTTTGATTCACAAAAGAAAACTACATCAAAATGAGGTCATATATCTTTAAAAAGTTAATCTTACGAGTATTGCAAATTATAAAAAGTTAACTAAAATGTCCATTACAGGCAATCAAACTTTAAAATTGAACTTCTATTATACCCTACCAGCAATTTCTCTACTTATGGAGTGTTTTCTACTGTTATAATCAGAGATCTGTTCTCCAGGAGGAAAACCAATATAAAGCCACAGAACATTAAAATATATGACAGTGTATTTTCAGAACTCTTTAGAGAAGAAGAATTTAAAATTAGAATGTGTTACAATGCTGCATAAAGAGACAATGTGACCAGGTACACAGCCCACATGGCAAGTTTGAAGATGAGGTTTGGCAAGAAAGCCATAGGGTTAGTAAATACTTATCTGGCATCTACAAAAAACAAGTAAGAAATAAAGGACTTCAGGGGATTGATCCTGAGTGAGACAACTGTAATATTAAATAATTCTGGTATAATGTGAGGCATCATATAATTACAGATGACCAAATTTATTTCCCAAAGATAGTCATACAACTTATAAAGAGGAATTCAAATTCCATAGTTGCATTATAAACACGATTACATGTGGATCCTAAAACCTCAATGAATTCACAACCATCTCTGTCAGTCTCCATTCCAGAGAGGCCCCAAGGAATGCACAAGTGACTTAGCAATGACTTCTAAAATATTAATCTGTATTCAATGTATCTGCAGAAATACTGACAGATCCTTTCCTTAGAGTTTGAACTTCCATGTAGAATAAGACCAAAGATCTCTTAACTGTACAGCAATATCACCACTTAAGCAGCAGAACACTGAAGCAGATAAACATCAATCTTTAAGCAGGCAGGCATCAGAATGTGGGTTCTAGGTTTACAAGTTTGCCATGTGACCCTGATTTTAACAAATCTACCATCTTTACTGCTCTGAACAGACTTGGACCAACAGCAACTTTCGGCACCATTTTTCTTTAGTTAAAAGAAACAATCTCAGGCAACCTCTGGTGATTTTTGCATCCAAATTATTTCTGGCCCAAACTTCAAGAGACCCTTTTCCAACTTACTGCTATGATCAAGATCAAGGATATGCAGGCTGCCACTTTAGCAAACAAGAACATGAACTTACCTCCAGAGACTTCTGTGCTGCTCTTCTAGTTGATTTAACAGATGTTCAACATATTTATTGGAGTCCATGTATTCCTACACAGAAGAGAAATGAAACCTCATGACAACTGTCACCAGAATTCTAAGACTCCTTATGACTGCAAGGAATAATATTTTAGGTTATAATCCCTGAAGTTCTAAGCCTTACTAGCATAGCCATTTGGAAAAGAATGCTATTTCCTCAGAATCTGATCAGCATATCAATAGCACTGGAGGTTTCTTTTGCACTCACATAAAAAAAAAAAAAAAAAAAAAAAAAAAAAGCTATTACAGGGAGAGAAAAAAGCCCTAGAATTTCTATCTTCCATGGGAGCCATGTGACCTACTTGAGTGAGCCAAAGTTCCTGCAGACTTAACAGGAAGAATAAAGCAGAGAGGAGCAGCTATGTGGCTTAACTGTTAACACATCCACACCTGCTCTCTTAATGCCTGGGTTTGATATTCAGTTGTAGCTACTGACCCAAACTTCCTACAGGTATGGAACCTGGGAGCCAGTAGTGTACGTTCAAGTCATTGGGTTCCATCCATCTATGTGGGACACCTGGATTTGGTTCCTGGCTTTGGCCTGACCCAGCTCCAGCCATTGCTGTCATTTGGGGAGTGAACCAGCAGAAGGGAGCTTTAGACAATCTCCGTCTCTGCCTCTCAATGAAACAGACAATACACATCTTCATTTCATCATCTTATAATAACCACTTCCCAACTGAAAAATCTACAGGGTACTTCATATATGCATCCCACATTCATTGGGCACTTGCTTACCGTTAATAAATATCCATTTTCTTTATGTACACAAAGTAGTGTATTTGCTTTTTTTAAGTCTTTGCCTTCCAAAATAACATTAAAGGTCAAGTGTATCCTGTCCTAAATAAATGTATATACATTGATTTTTGTAAATCAATCACTTAAGAAATCTCTGAAAAATGAACCATCTGTCACATGAGAATTACCCAGAAAAAGAACCCATAGGTTATTACATCAGATTCTTCAACTTGAGATTCCTCAATATGAGGTTCATATGCACCACTGGTACAATTGCTACTTTTAGCAATTATAAGGATATGTCAAGAAGTTCATGAATTTGTACATTAAGAAAAAACTATACAATCAAGAGTTTTTAAAGATTTATTTATTTGCTAGAGTTACAGAGAGAGGTAGAGACAGAAAGAGGTCTTCCATCCACTGGTTCACTCTCCAAACGGTCAAAACTGAGCTGAATTAGAGCAACCAGGGCTTGAACCAGTACATATACGGAATGCCAGCACTGCAGGCCAGGGCTTTAACCTGCTGTGCCACAGCGCCCTCCCTCTCTTCCCCTCCCTCTCTCTCCCCTTCTCTATAACTCTTCCAAATAAATCTTAAGAAGTTGAATATGAACACTGAATAAAACAAGCAATAAAAGGCTATATGCACAACACAGGTTTTTCTTTCTTTTTTTTTTTTTTTTAAACCAAGATCAAAAAAAGATCGACTCTAGCACTTTAAGCCATCTTAAGTCCCCACTGAAATCAGATCCATAGATAAACTATCAACAGTACTGCCAGGGAGTTCTAGCATCACAAAACAAAGATATTCTCAGGCATTCACAATTCAGAAAATTTAACAAACACTTCTTTAAATTAAACATGCATGTGAATTTAAATTAACTGTCTATAAATTTCTAAGACATGTAAAATTAGGTATGCTTTTTATTTATGTATATGGACACATCCCACATCTGAACCATGTGTAAGAAAAAAAGAATTTATAATGTACAAGTTTCAAAGAATGGTTAAATTTATTAAACAAAATCTTAGACAAAAGATGTAGAACACATATTACGTATCTTTGCAGTTGGCAGAGAATTTTAACATGACGTACATTTTCTAACACCTTTTTGAAATATCTACATGTAGTTGAAGAATCATATTTGGTGAAATGTGGTGTGCATTTAAAACATCTTTATCTACAAGTTTTGTATCTAGAAGCCATCAAGAGAATGTAATTAGATTGAACCAAATAATATTCATCAAAATTGTATTATATACTGACAATTATTCCTGACAAAAAAAAAAAAACTGGGTATATCTTAGGTTCCAAAAACAGGAACTAAAATGAAGTTTAATCAACCTGAATTATGCAAATCCTTAAAAACCCTGTAAAATAACCTAATACAAACCCCAATTATGATGTTAAAGAAACAAGACTGCATAATCTCATCACAATTTAGAAAAAAAGGAAAACACAAAGATTCAAAGCAACGAACAGTAGATGGTAACAAGGGCTGACTTCATTTTTTGTGTATATTTCATAGTTATAAAATGTCATATACTCAGATTTTACTACACAAATTTTATAAATCATGAAGTAAAGTACAACCCAAGAAAATATTTACAAGATTTGATCATGATGAAGTTCCAGAAAACTAGATCCAAAATGCTGTATTCAAACAATTTCCTTCAGTTTTATTCTGGGACTAAGTTGGTGTTGCTACTCGCCCTTGTCAGTGTTCTGATAAAAACATCTCCAAATTAGGATGTAGGAGACCAATTTATACAGTCTTATTTATAAAATGTTTTTAAAAAATTTTTAAACAAAGGTACAGCATTAAAAAGACATCTGCTCCTTGGCTAAAACTTATGCAAATTAGGATCATTTTAGAGATATATTCCAGCAAGTTCTCCTTTCATTTCTTTTAATGCAAATGTTTCACAGCAATTAGTATGAAGCATTTCAAGTGATTAGAGGTTTACAGATACACCAAACGTTACATATCTACATAGGATAAGCCTATTTAATGCAAACCTCCTTTTGTCTGAAATAGGTCAGTTCTGGGAGAGGCCTATTACATATGAATTTTAATAATATGATCTTATGTATCAATTGCTTTAAGTGGATTTTAAAATACGGGTAATCAAAGCTTGCAGAGATCCAAGATCCCCCACCCCCTAGCCGAAAAAAATCTTCATATTATAATCAGCATAACTTAGCTTGTGAAACCCTGCCAGCACTTTTCTAACACCTAATATAGAACTTCTAATTCACCTTTGGTCAAAGAAGCAACAAGGAGGCCAGCTGCTCAAATGAACAGAAATATCACTAGGTACAAGAAATTTATACAATTAGGAAATGACTACCATAATAAATGCTGCCCTCAAAAATTGTCATTTTAATGGAAAGGTACATCTGCACAGCAAATGTAAAAAACTAGATATATTCACTGTGGGAATTACATAGGCAAGACAAGAAAATAAGCATCTCGTACTCAACCAGTGTACTATTACTATGTCAGCACAAATTCTTTCAATAAAACATTCTTAAAAGTTAAAAACCACAATCAATTTAAGAGTCTCAGCCTTAATGTATCGACTCTGTTGCCACTGTCTGTTCTTCAACCCTCTCTATTCTTTCTTAGTTCTCAAACAGAAACCTTGCTTCTACTTCAACTCCTCAATATAACTACTGTCTTCTCACATACTCTAGTGGCCCCCCACAGGTCCTTATGACTGGTTCCTGTAGCACTTGCCCTTTTAAATGATATGCTTTCCTTCCCTGGTATTCTCTGGAAGTGACTTTTGTCTCAACACGGAGATCTCTCGGTCTTCTTCCTTCCTGCTTCTGTCCATTTTTCTATCAATGGTAAGGTTCTATCCCAGGCTTTCATTCACTTCTTAGATAAGCCCATCAATTAATAAGGTTTGAATCACCGGCAATAAACCAAACACCCAAGTATTTATCTCCAGGCCAGATCACCTTCTTAAGGTCCAATTCCATTTATCTGGCTATATGACATACAGGTCCCTTTGGATGTGCCACACACTCTTGTAAAGTCAATCTTTTATAGCTTCTAACACCTACCATAGAACTTGGCACATCATAAAATTGTGTATTACATGACTGAGTGAATTTATTACTTGTTGGTAGGCTGGCTGATCACAAGACAATCTGGCATCAGGTTACAAGTGTGGTCTTCCAGAACTGGTTTCTAATTATGAAGGCTAGAATGAGCAGAGTCATTAGGCAGTTTTGAAAAAGCATCAGAAAAGCAGAACTTTTCCCTATCTACTCCACACACTGCTCAACACACCTGACATGGAGATGTTCCCCTTTTTACCAACTCCAACAATTCTCTAGTGAACTGGGTATCCTATAATTTAACTCAAATCTGACATTATCTTCTCAGAGACCATCTTGGACTCCATAAATGGAGGGCTCAGTCCCTTAGGACTGTCTCCAACTTCAGATGCTAATTCCAAACAGTGTGCTGCCACTTATACTTGTGACTACTGGTTTTAAGTGAGGGCTCCTCCACCAACTCCTCTTTAGATGTGAGAAGTACTTAAGTTTTCCGATTTGTTTTAATACTACAAAGAACAGAGGTTATCCATACAAAAAAGGTGGTCAGATTTCCATGCCCTCTCCTGGCACACCGCTATTGAGGGATGCCCATGTATTTCAATATCTGAAAGCTTCTTAGACCTAGTCCTTTAAGATTTTTTGTCTAAGTAATTATGTAGGCATGATTGATTCCTTCATAGACCAAGGGTGCTAATCTTCAGCCCCCTTCCCTCTCTAGAGAGTGGGAGGCAAGGAACTCAAAGTTTAAACCCTGTAATCACATGATTACCCTGACGACCATCTCCTATCCTGATCCAGTCAAAAACAATCTCATTAGAACAAAGATGAGGGCCAGCACTGTGGCACAGTGGGCTAAAGTCCTGGCCTGCCTGCAGTGCCAGCATCCCATATGGGCATTGGTTCAAGTCCCGGCTGTGCTCCACTTGCAACCCAGCCCACTGCTAATGGGCCTGGGAAAGCAGAAGATGGTCCTAGCATTTAGGCCCCAGCACTCACGTGGGAGACCCAAAAGAAGCTCCAGGCTCCTGGCTTCACATCAGCTCAGCTCCAGCCATCCCAGTCATCTGGAGAATGAACCAGTGGATAGACGTCCTCTCTGTCCACCTCTCTTTGTAACTCTTTCAAATAAGTAAAATAAATAAGATAAAAATTAAAAAAAAAAATGCTCCTCTCAGGAAATTCCAAGGGATTTGGTAGCT